TCCTGGGATGTGATGGGAAGTTGATAGATCGGTGCTCCTGTCCTAGTGAACAAATTTACATTGTTAGACACAAAAACCTGAGTCCTTACCACTGAAAGCTGTCAGGAGCCCTCCTGTGCCACCAGATGTTAGCAAGAAATGCTGTCGGAATACTTCAGTGTTGTTTAAAATGTGAGATGATTTCTGCTTTCTTGTTAGGAGGGCCTCACATCAAATTACAGCTTCAAGCCTTGCACCTTATGGTCATGGCGCTGCCTGATGCCAACAGGGATACAGCCCAGGTATGTTGTCCTGACTGCATGATCTGTCACCAGGCTTTGTCATTCAGAGGAAAGGGCTCATATGGAAAAATGAAAACTGAGATGACAACTTACTGAGCCATCTGAGCATGCTGCAAACCCACTGCCTTTCTGTGCCCCTGCTGCCACTCTCCTGCGGAAGACCAGAAAGAATGGAAACCCTGGAATCTCCTTTGAACGTTTAAGTTTCATTCATTTAATTTATTCAAGAGATATTGAGAGTCTGACACGTGCCAGGCACCTGGCTTTAGGTCTTCGGAGTAGTAGATGAGACAGAGTTGAAGGGCTTCAGTGGAACAACGCCAGAGTAAATGAGACCTTTATGTCACTCGTAAAATATAAAACTCGAAGTGTTGGTCCTCAGCTGATCACTTTAGGCTAGGGGCAAAAAAATCTGATGAGTGTCCTTGGGAGGAAATTTGAAATCACTGATTTAAATAAAATTTCTAAAATGTTCATGTTTTAATATTNGGGAGGAAATTTGAAATCACTGATTTAAATAAAATTTCTAAAATGTTCATGTTTTAATATTTATGAAGGTAATTCAATTTAAATAATTCTAGGATTTCAGAATTTTAGAGATTACCCAATAGAATCTCATTTTATAGATTAGGAAAATAAAGCTCAAAAAAGTGATTTCTTCCTTAACATATAATAGAATATTTGATAGCATCATCTTCCATAGTTCTTTATCCTCCTTTATTCCAGATTCATTTCTTTGCTGTATGTTGGTAAGAATTAAAGTTTCTCTTGCTGTTTTGATAATGATTCGATAATACAACAGGAAATTTGTTATAAGTACAACAGGTATTTGGAATCTTTGAAATGAATTGAAATAAGGATGAGTTGAAAAGAATGAGCCCATAATTTTGAGGCCACTAAACATAATGCTGAAAACAAAGATGATTGTTAGCACTGCCTCTTTTCAGACATTTCAGTGTGGTGAGGACCTTCCTCTCCACTGTGAAAACATCTATGTCAATTACACTATATGTCAACTATAGTATATTCTCAGTGCAAGGATGGGGATTAGCTATAGCATAAAAATATGTTTCTAATATAATTCACCAATTTTTCAAAAGCCGGAAATTTATTACCTTGTTTTTTGGCTTTCTCTAAACAATTTTATCAAAAGAAAAAAAAAA